AGAGAGAGAGAGAGAGAGAGAGAGAGAGAGAGAGAGAGAGAGAGTCAGTCTTACACATACAGATTTTTAAAATGAGACAATTTTGGACAACGCTCAAGGACACTGGGTAGAGAGACTTAGGAGGATGAGACAGTCAACCTTTTAGACTGATCAGTAAGGCCTCTGAGAAAGAGCCCTTTGGTAGAGATAAAGACCCAAACTAAGAGCAAAATTCACATACTCTAAATAGTAAGCAGGTAGAGCCTAACCTCTACTATCCCACATACCTTATCTGTTACAGAAAAACTGTAAAATATACTACTCAATAAGATAAGGAAAGGTTTGTTTGTCCCCTCAGATATGGGCCTGCACAAGAAGAATCTTACAGTATAAAACGAAATAACTTCCCACTTGACTGCTATAAAAGCACCCCTTCTGAGTGGTGTGGACCCTCTCTGGGACCTCACTCCCTGTACTTTTGCAAAGTATTTCAGTACGTTCTCTTTCTCTGCTTTTATGCCCTGGTAAACTCTTTTATGGCCTACGATGGTTAGTTTTAAATATCAACTTGCCACAACTTAACAGCACCAGGGAAGAGAATCTCAACCGAGTAACTGTCTTTATCCAGCAGGTCTGTGGTTATGAGTGTGGGGAGGTGGAGTCTTGATCATTGCTTGAGGTAGGAAGACTTATCCTGAGTGTATTTGGTACCATTCCTGCTTGGGGCCCTGGGACAGCAGAACAGTGGAGAGGGAGAGGCAAGCAGGCAGCAGCGTGTGTTTGCTCTTCACTGCTCTTGACTGGATGTGATATGAGCTCAGGTTCCTTCATTTCTTTGAAATTATAGACTATAGCTTGGAGCCAAATAAGCCTTTCTTCCCACCAACTGCCTCTGCTCAGGGTGAGTTTGTTTTCGAAGCAACGGAATGAAACTGGAACAAGGACCATGTTGCCAGCTTTCCCCACACGGCTTCCCAAGGCACCTTTGTTACATTGATTCAATATAAAACGGTAGAACGGAGCTGGCCTTGTGCAGAACTTGGGCTGAGAGCCAGGGAGCAGCAAAGACTGAGATAGGAAGGGCCATGGCACCTGGAACCCGGCCAAAGAGAGACATCTCTGAGGCTGGGAGTGTAGCTCAGAGGTGGAACTCTTGTCTAGCCTGTGTGAGTTCAATTCCCAGCACAGGGGTCAGGGATAGAGATCTCTGGCAACAAATCAGAGGAGGAGTTAAGACAAACCCGCTACCCTGCTGAGAAACCTGGAGTCAGCTTTCTGAAAGGGAGTGAGCCATCTGTTTGTCTGCTGGAAGGGGGACTGGAAGGCTAGGCAGACGTATGGGGACGGGGTGAGATGCCCGAGGTTCCTGTCCCTGTGACTGGGCCCATTTCCATGCTTTCTGGTTCTGGATGTTGCCTTTCTTAGAAGAATTAAGGAAAATAGAATAACAGCCTGATCGTAAGAGGAGGGGCAGCATTGCCACTCAAAGGTCAAAGCCTTTATTTATCCATGCAGCAGTTCACCAAGTTTGCCTTCAGCTTAATTGCCCCAAGGCAAATAAACAACCCAGACACAACAAAAAAGGGAAAACCCCCAAAAATCAAATGGACAAAAACATAAGGATGGAGAGAGAACATCTCTGAAGGAGAGCAAAAACTAAAGGGAAATTGTTGTCAGCCTAGAGCGAGGGTCTACAGTCTGCTCATATGTGAGAAAGCATGTGTGTATCCATACACTCATGCACATTGTTGTTGTAGATCAGGGTTAAAGAGGCACCGGATGGCTCGTTTCTAAAGGAAAGAATGATAACTGGGTGAAACAAAGAACGGAGGGCACAGACCAGAGGCACGGCCACAGGCTGCTCTTTCTCTGTGGTTGTTTTGTAATTCTTCTGCTGACCCATTAGTCTCCCTCAATTAACTGTGAGTTCCTGAAGGGCAATTGACCATGCTCACTTTGAAACTTTGGAACAACAGAAGCAAACAAAGGTGAAAGTGGCTGCCTCACATGATGGACAGACAGACAGACAGACAGACAGACAGACAGACAGACAGACATAACTGTTTTGCAACCTGTTCTTTTCACTAATATACTAACAACAAGTGAGCTTGTTTCCAGTCAGTGCAGAATCAGTGGACTTAAAGCTGAATAGCAAATGGCAAATCCACTTAGAGATTCTATTGTCTGCCAAGGCTGGGCTGGGAAATAAGATACAGAGAATCCAAACAGTAGCTCCGTCCAAGGACACCTTTATTCCTTGTCACCCTGTGGGGTGTTCTGAGCTGCAAGCTCCTTAGAATCTTGGAGGCCAAGATCTTACTGAGCCAGTGTCCAGAGCCAGTCTGCCACAGGCTCTACTTGCGTGCTACAGCAAGAACACCATCTAGCATCCGGGTAAGGGGGTCTGTGCTTAGGTGAGCTGAGTGACGTCAGCAAAAGAGACTGGGACTCAGGGAATCCATGAGTCCTCAGAAAGCATAGAAGTCATAGAATCCAAATCCCTGTCTCAGGACCCAGTGGTCTTTATTTGCAATGCTACTTATTCCCACTGGAGCCTTGGGTGGTTCAGAGCTTTCTCCTCACTCATTTCTAATAGGTGGAGGTCTTTCCTTGCAGATCCTCAGCTGGAAAAACTTTGCCAGGTGTACTCTGCCACACCTCCAAATATGATTCATACTGACTGGTCCTGAGATCTTACTCTGTGTTGAAGGTCAAGCTCCTGGCTTCGTTCAGGTAAAGGTCTGTGAAAAGACCCCAGGCTGCACAAGGAGGAGCTGTGTCTCCTGTTGCCTGTCTCAAAAGTGTACAACACCTAAATCTATCTCAGGGCCCTAAGAAGGTTGAGCAGTAAGCAAACTGATCTCCCAGCCCACCCAGAAGCAAGACTACAATTTGTTTCCACTGTGTACATTTTAGAGCGAGACTTCTTGGGGACAAAAGATTTTCTCTTTTACAGGAATGTCCTTATTCCATCTAGTCCCAAGAGGATATGTCTGAAATGGTGCCCTGGACTGTTTATAGAAGTAGAATCCAAGACCCAACCCTGCCTCTGACTGTCTTATCTGACCATACACCAAGGTGGTAGGATTCTGAGCTCTCCTAGGGGACCCCTTCTGCAGCAACCACATGATGACCTATGGCTAATCACCCCTAAACAAGCTGTAGTAACAGGCTTACTAGCTACACAGTCAGAAATAGGGGTCCATGGGGTTGGGATAAATCTGAATTCAGATCCCAACCATGCTACCTCAGACTGAATTATTTAGTTTCCCTAGGCTTTAGGGTTTTTTTTTCCTTTCTGAGAACAATTTACAATATGCTTACAGTAATCTCTTACCTGTGCTACATAGTTAATTTTAATGGTCAGCCTGACAGTATCTAGAATCATCTAGAAAGCAAATCTCTGGGTACATCTGTGAGAATATTTCCAGAAATGTTTAACTGAGGAGGAAAGACCAACTGAATATAGCCACACCATTCACTACATTCATCTCTGTCTCCTGACAGAGGACAAAATGTGGTCAGCCACTCCTGCCATCATTCCTGCTCCATAATGGGCTATATCTTCAAACTGGGAGCCAAAATAAACCATTTTATCCTTATGTCGCCTTCATTGGTTGTGCCAGGAAACTTGGAAAGGTAGAGCAGGTTGAGACCCAGAGCCAGACCCCTGACCTGGAAGAGGTGCCGTGCTTCTCAAATAAAAGAAATGTGTCCTATAGTCACATAGGCCCAAAACAGAGTTCTTCATGCTAATGAGGTACCTAGAAGCCCAGAGGGCTTAGCCAATAAGCTTCCCTTCCCAGGCATTCCTCCCTGCAAAAGATATTTAATCTCAGGGCTGTGCTGAGAAATGGGAATGGTACATTATGAATCCATTTTCCACCATGAACAACCAATTAACTGTTTAGAACCATAGACTGTCACTTTCATCAAGATCCACCATGAGGAGACACGAAGAAGGCATTTGCCCACAGAGCTGCAGCTTCATTTTCCTGTAGAAGACCTCTCTGTGGCCTTCACACAACTGCCACAAAGCCTGCCTCCAACAAGCTAAGGACAATCACTGCTGGGACAAGCCGGTGCTCCCCATCCCACACAGCCCCGAGCTGGATGCTGTCCCTAGCTATTGGCCTGGCTCCATTCTCTGCTCTTCCTTGACTCCCAGCAGCATCTGAACGTTCAACAGTCTGAGAACCCCACAGCCCCAGCCTTGTCACAGGGCTGGGGAACCCCAAGGAGCTCCAGCTTTCCCACATCTTAGACTGTGCTTTCTCACCCTCAAG